CCTCCTCTCTTCGCTTTCTCTCCAGCAGAAGCTGCTTCCATTCGGTAGAGCCGACAGAGACATAACCACGCGGTACTTGAAACAGTGCGGTGTTACTGATCAGAGAATTTCCAGGAACATCCAGGAATCCTGTCAAATAAATAAACACTTAGGTTTGTCTAAAATGGAGATGTCATGCACTTTGCCAGATGAACCATCTTATATTGCCAGTATCCTATTAAAGGGATAGTTTGACCAAAAATTTAAATTCTTTCATCATTTAATCATGTTATTTATTGTAACAACTTGAGGGTGAGTAAATTTAAATTTTGGGTGAACTATACCTTTAAATTCAAGTCAAGTATAGAGAGACATGTGCATCTTTCAGTACAAACATATGATTATTCATTTTTATACTGCATAACAATATTTTATTGTTTTTATTCTGATTTTAGATATAAAATATTAATCCTAATTGATAAGAGAAGAAGCTTATTTTAGGTGCTGTGACTGCTCACTATTTTGTTTTTGCAATTCACTTTTTTGCAGGTTCAGTCCAAATATCAAATCAAATTTAATTCAGTAGTTTGTGCTTTACAGCAGGATAAGTATCTAAAACAAACAAGACAGCAAAACAATGTTTACACAAAAACACCAATCAGAAAATTAAACATGAAAAATATTACTTAGCCTAATAATGCATAGATAAAATAATATTGTATGCTTGTCGTTTTTCATGTCAACTACTCAAATTATGATTTGTTGCATGGAAAAACAATTATTCTGCCATTATATCAACTGAAATGCCTATAATTAATGTTTATTTTGACATACTTATCTATTTAATACACAATAGTCCCGTTTAAGTAATTATTTTTACATACCTTATTTTGTGGGATGACTGAAGTCCTGATTCACCGGAATAAACTAAGTTTTCCTCGTTTCCACTTGCTCGACGTTCATCTTCCCATGAATATAACTCCAAAGAAACCATCAAAAGTCCTGATAATTCATCCACTCCCTGCGAAAGTGAAGCTGCGACCTCGACCTGTCTAACTCGCAACAAGCAATAAAGCCCCAGTTAAAGCCCCAGTTAAAGCTCCAGTTAGCTCATATTCCCGGTTCCCCGAGCCGTGTGTGAGTCCCGCGGACCGGAGCGGCAGTGTCGTAAACACGGGCGGCTTTAGCGGCGCAGGAGTGGAAGAGTAATCCCATAATTACATTAAACTCCAACAGGAGAATCACAGGCACACGCGCCATATTGCCGGAGAAAACACGCATCTGTTCTCCATCTCCTCATGTGTGTGTGTGTGTGTGTGTGTGTGTGTGTGTGTGTGTGTGTGTGTGTGTGAGCGAGCCGTTAACGGGAGAGTGACGGCGGCACGGGAATTAACCCCAGCTCTTAGATAACAGTCAAAGTTCAAAAACTCCCCTTAATTAGGCTCTTAATTATACATTACATAATAATCACATAGCTACTTTTTAGTCCCAGTAATGTACATTTTTTAAATAAAAAACCCAACAATTTTATTTATCAAAAATGTTCATTATAACTAGAAAGTTTTTTTTTAAATTAATGTTTATAAATATTAATTTAAAAAAACACACACAATAAGGAATATTTGTTTTACTAATATTAGTTGAACCTGAAGAACAGAGTAGGTCACGTGACGTCAACTAGTTGTCATTTTTGCTAGTTTCTCCAACCCGATCTCACGGGAATTCGTACGAATTTTACGAGGTGGCTAAGTCGTAACAATTCGTACGACCTCACTCGTACGAATTAGTACAATTTAGCCAATTCGTATGAATTACGACCTACATAACCGTCACGTGGGTTTAGACAAATCGTACGAATTCCTACGTGTGAGGTCGTACGAAGTAGTAGGCACTTTTGAATCACTCATGTAAATAAAAAAAGTTTTCCTGTCAGATTTTCTTTATGCAAACCCATAAAAGGGTTATAAAGTGAAATCAGAACGATAAAAACATCACTAATATTAAACATGTTTTGTTTAATAGCTACATTACCGTTCTAAATAGAACCCTCACTGCATGATTCCTTATGGAACGAGTTCTGCTATTGTTACGTCAAAGAACTTTTATATTTTTTATATATTTAACCAGTTCCTTAAACCTGTATAATAAGCAAACATGTTTTTTACATATTGCTAAATAATTCAGCTACAAGAGAAAAACACATAATTTGCTGCAAAATTGTCTTTATTCAGAACGATCTGATCTAATAGAGGCAGACGTGGTGCGATAAACTCTAAAAACACACGGCAAATAAAACTTAAGGAGGTTTTCAGGTCTTATAATAGTGCAGATGCTTTCATGTCTTTAGTTTCTACAAAAATATTTTCATGTTTTTTGACCATGTAAAAATACATTCTCCACCAACTAATCATCATATAAACACACTTCAAGCATCAGACATTTCATGATTTCCAGTGGTTATGACACTTATTGGTGTGAAACACAGTTTTTATCCTGACACCAGCAGACATCTGAAACATTTGTAAAGAAATAAAAGTATTATATAAAAACAAGCAGTAAATAAAAAACAAAAGTCCTCATAAAAGCTGAAACGTTACACTACTGGCCAAAAGTAAACCATCCAATGTCATTTTCTCCACAATGATATTGGATGTGTGTGTGTGTGTCTCTCTCTTAATGTCACACCAGGGCTGAAAAGAGATATTTAACTGATGACCTTTGACCTGTGAACCTCATCCGAAGCCGAAACACATCAGCTCCTCTTCCGCTGACTACAAATAGAATTTGATTTCTTTTATCTAAAAAGGATTTGACTCCTTTTTAAACGCTATTTTGATGACCTTGTAAGCTTTAAGTTAACAGTTTAAACGTGTAGAAAATAATGAGCATGACGGATGAGGGCTATAAATACTGCCAGAGAGGTTTAGGGACACAAACTACACAGAAATGCACAATAACATCACTTATTTTCACAACTATAACTGGACAACAGGTGAGAATTAAACATGCATACTGTAATGAGCTCATATGATGATGAGTGCAGCAGAAAGCTGTTTGAAATGTATATTGATGTATGCAGATAACGTTTCTCACTCATGTTTGGACAGTTTATATCGTGCATTATGTCTCCCAAACATATCTTTGCTTGCCTTCAAGTCGCATCACGCCACCAGAGGTCAGAATTAGCAGTGGCGGGACCTCTGATGACATCACAGATCATCTTTAAATATGCATGAGGTAAACCCCAGGACGAGAGACATGACTTCAGAAGGCAGCGTGACTCTCTTACATGCTTTAAAGATGAACGCTATATAAATTATTATTAATGATTAATTATAGGAAACAGAAATAAACTTACTTTTATTTTAGTTGTAATTAATTATGGCAAATTATTTTCCGTTTCTTTTTTTAAGATGTTTTACAAGTGTGTCACTATATATAATGGTCTCGTTTATGGATTGTGATTCCGGTTTATTGGAAATGGATAATATAACTAAAATCCTATTTTAACATTTTATTTGTAAAATATCATGTACTGTATATTCAGGCACCTTCAACATTTCTCACATTATATCACACATGAATTATGTTGAATATCTGTCAGCTGTTCAATTGAACTCCACAATTAGATAATACCAGTTTAGCTCAACCAGTGACCAAGCAATGCGAATGTTGTTCAGTGTGTGTGTGTGTAGCACTTACAGAAAACACACTTCAGCAGAACATCATCAGCTCAAATATTAGTCCCAAATGTGTGTAAATGTCCCTGGTATAAATGAACTATAGTGTCCTGATCACACTAGTAGAAAATATCAAAAATGATATCTGGTGTCGGAATAGTTTTTGGTTTGACTGTATATAAAGCAAAGTGTGTTAAAGGAGTAGTTCACTTTTAAAAAAACTTTTGCTGATAATTTCCTCACCCCCGTGTCATCCAAGATGTCCATGTCTTTCTTTCTTCAGTCGAAAAGAAATGAAGGTTTTTGATGAAAACATTCCAGGATTTTTCTCCATATAATGGACTTCAATGGGGACCAAACGGTTCAAGGTCCAAAAGACAGTTTCAGTGCAAACTACAAACTGTTCAAAGGGCTTTAAACGATTCCAGACGATGAATAAGGGTCTTATCAAGCAAAACGATCGCGCATTTAATAAATAAATAAGAAAGATTAAGTTTTATAAGCTCAAATGCTCGCCTTGCTCTGTTCTGTGACGCGCGTTTGTGACTCTCCTGTTCGAACTCGTTTATCAAAATGAACGTATCTTTTTTCCGAGTCAATTCGTTCGTTGAATGAACCAAATGACTCGAAAAAAGATTTGTTCATTTTGATAAACGAATTTGAACAGAACGCGCAATCGTTGCAATCGTTTAAAGCCCTTTGAACAGTTTGCACTGAAACTCTCATTTGGACCTTGAACCGTTTGGACCCCATTGAAGTCCATTATATGGAGAAAATCCTGGAATGTTTTCATCAAAAACCTTAATTTCTTTTCGACTGAAGAAAGAAACACATGGACATCTTGGATGACATGGGGGCGAGTAAATTATCAGCAAAAGTTTTTTAAAGTGAACTACTCCTTTAACTATAAAAACGGTAGACTATTGTCCGCTGACTCAAACACTGGTACTCGGCTGGTGAAAGGATGCTATTAGATGTATGATTGATTTTTGATACATACTTAATTTTTTTTTAGATTTAAGTGCTTTGTACGACTCTGTATCGTTATTGTTATTTAAAGAACACATAACTTGTGTTTGGCTGATGCAGATCGCTGTCCCCTAGTGGGGTGGAGAAGAGCTGTTCTTCTGAACTTTATATTCATTAAAGTATCCTGGAATAAAAATGTAAAAAAAAAAACACTGATAATAATCATAAATGTGTCTTGATCATCAGATCCTCATATTAGAGTGATTTCTGGAGGATCATGTGACACTGAAGACCTCCAGTGATGATAAATTCAGGAATAAATTACAAATTACTGTAATATTTCGTTCGTGTGCTCCGCTCCTCACTGAGTCTTGTGTGTGTGGCTGGCGCTGCGCTCGCTGCCCTCTAGTGGCGTGGAGAAGATCTGCAGTTTGCTCTGGAGCTGCCGGCGCAGGTACACACAGTCCTGCGCGTCCAGCGAGTGCGCGAGCGCCAGATACAGCGACAGGAACAGCGCTAACACCAGCCGGTCCAGCGGCAGCGACGGCAGGAGCCACAGCACCGTCAGCAGCTCCACACACACCGGGTGTCTGAGGTGAGAGTACAGGCGCTGCGCTCGCTCAGACTTCAGCAGCAGCGGGTCGCCCAGACCCAGACACTCGTAATACACCTGACACACACACATACAATGACTTTTGACAGGTGAAGATGAATCATATTTGAAACATCCGGGTTTTTTGGCTCATATATAGTGAGAATATGGAGAAGAAAACAGCTTGGATTTATTCAGAGGCTCAAACTCAATGAGATCTTCATAATGAGTATAGCAGATACTGACATAAAATGCATATAAATATCAATATCTGCCAATAATGTTGGATTTAACATTTAAATGTGTAGTTTTATGATCAAATCTCTGTACTTTTAAAACATATAATGCAATGCATGAACAATGGTAACACTTTACAGTGAGGCTCATCAGAAATAGAAGATGAGATTTGCATGATTTACAGGCAAGATCCAGTAAAATATCTAATAAATAGAGCGTATAGTTGTTGTAGATGCAGATGTACCTGTTTGAGGCCCATCAGCTCGGGATAGTCGAAGATGAGGAGGATGCTGCAGATTACGGCCCAGCACAAGAAGTGTATGACGAAGCAGAGGAGCGGGAACCAGATATCCCAGGGTGCACTGCGCACTGACCACAGACAGGGGGCGCCGGTGACCGGCTGCCAGAACTGCATCAGCAGCTACACACACCACAACATCATTATTACACTCATTACACAGGTAATTCAGTATTAAGATGATTCCGACATTACAGGGTTAGTGTGTTTGAATAAAAATAAAATAATAATATTAAACCAACGAACGCAATTGTATTAGAATATATAAACATATATATTTGATTTAAAATGTCAAATGTTTTACTGTTAATGGAGTCTTTGTACATGAAAATATATAGTTGCCTTTTACATGTTAGGGAATATGGTTATATTTGAGAGTCTGTGGCATCCAAAAGATTGAAAATAATAGATCGCTCAAATAAAATAAGCATTTATTTCTGACGTTATTATTGTGGAACTAAATATACAATATAATGAGGTCACGTGACAACGATGTAGCATACTAATGTGAAAACTATAGCGCATGCTCATAGGCAGAGGTACCTGAAGTGCTGCAGCGGTGGTGAAACAGTACACAGTTCTGCTTAACACACCAAACACTCGCTGACACACACTCTTAACTGGAGCCCAGGCCAATACACTGTGCTGGAAACTGAAGAGGACCAGAAGGAAAACATCCACAGCTACAGCCTTCAGAACCACTCCGTCCCGCAGAGCGACAGACCAGGGCACAGAGTCTGAGAACACACACACGCACACACACACACACACACACACACGATCAGAACTTTTTCAAAACCAGAAAAAAAGATGTGCGCCCAACGTGGGGCTCGAACCCACGACCCTGAGATTAAGAGTCTCATGCTCTACCGACTGAGCTAGCCGGGCTACATGCTAACGACGCACGCATTCCAAAATGACGACATGACGCACGTGCGTGCAAAAAAATGCAACCCTAATTTATGGGGTTAGTCAACTGTACATTCTGATCAACCAGCAAATTTTATTTACACATAATCTTTTCTTAATTGTTTTAAAAGGCAGATCAAGCTAACTTAGTTAACGTTAACGTTACCCGAGTCACTTAACGTTAAAACTTGGAACAGCCCGAAACTTAATTAACATTTACAAAGCGAATATACGTCCATTCGCAACACAATCCCTCCACTACTATATTTATGTGCACATGTCATGTGTTGATAAACATAATATGTATAGCATGTAGCTTTTTTGTTGGTAAACTTTAAAAGCGCGCTCCCTTACCTTGACACGGAGGCGCGGCCCCGCTCAGATTATGATAGATGGCACGAAACGACACGAAGCGAACAAAATCAGCACCGCTCACAAACACGAACACGAAGGTGATTAAAGCTGAAATGGACAGAAAACAATCGCGAAAAGTTACCGACGCCATGATAATATTTATATTTCCAACGGACAGTGTGATACTTCCGGGCTGCAGTGACGCGCATGATCACCGGATGGCGCTAACGTTTCGTGATTATCAATTCTGTGCTAAGACGTAAAGTAACAAATGAACATCTATATACAAGTTATAATTAACTAAAATTACATTTTTTTAATATAATTAAAATAAAACCAACGAAAAATAAAATATTAACCTTTTTTGTCTCTAAAAGTGTGATGAAAGATCTGACAGTGTCTTTCAACAGTGTTTGAGGTTTAGCATTAATGGTAACACTTTACAATAAGCTAGTTTCATTAGTTCACATTAGTTAACTACATTAGTTAACATGTACTAAGAATGAACGATACTTCTTCAGCATTTATTAATCTTAGTTAATATTAATTCCAACATTTACGTTATTAAAATCAAAGGTTGTATTAGTTAATGGACTGTGAACTAACATGAACGCACAATGAACAGCTGTATTTATATCAACTAACATTAACAAAGATTAACAAACACTGTAACTAATGCATTGTTCATCGTTAGTTCATGTTAGTTAATGCATTTACTAATGTTAACAAATGAACCTTATTGTAAAGTTTCCTGACAGAAAATGCACAAACACATCAAATTTCTTAGTTTTACTGCTGTTTATTTGATCAAAACACATCTATTGACATTTTAAGCAAGTGTGCCATAAAACAGCTTGTATTGGTTTTCTCAAACTCGGCTCATGTGTGCATATTAATGCAGTCCAGATAAATATGTAATGTCAAGATGCAGTGATTTTCAAGCAAGTTTGCTGATCTTGTTAAGCTTATTCTTTACATGTAAAAACTGCACACTGCTTGAACTCTTGAATATTGTTTAGCCTATATGTTGAATCAATAAATATTGCATTAAAGGTAGTGCCACAGTGTTTTCATATTGAACTAAATATCATTGACACAAAAATGAACTACAAAAAAATGTACAATCCCCACAACCATTAAAGATTGCTCTCATTTGTGCTGAAAAATTCACCATTTGGCTTTTCTCATCTCAGGTTCTCTCTAAACTGATAGTGAAATCTTGTGAACGGATAAAGTCATCTGAAACACAGTGGTCTCTTTAATGAGTGTTTCCTAACAGTGATGCTGATTTTACTGGCAGTACAAAACTCAGATGGTCAAATTAAGCCCATTTTAGCTGATTTTTGATCCATCAGAGCTTCTTGTTTCGCTGCTTTCCATCCTTTCTGCTGTCCACGATGGTAACATATTCCTCCAGCGACGAGTGTAGTCAGAAAAAACACAAACACAGCCAGTCCAACACTAGTGAACATCAACACACGCTCCGTCACCTCGTCTACAGACACAGAAGAGTTACACACATTTATAATATTCAGTATTAGAAGTAGCGCAAAACACACTAAAATCAATTAAACAACCAACATTACCTGTAATGTCCACTTTTTTTGGAAGTTCTGCTGAGGAAAGACAAATATGTCACTTTATTAAAAACACAGAATCTATTTAAACAGTGTTTCTGAATGTCTTAAGTTTTTTTTAAACAGATGTTTATAATGCACAAAACAAATAACTAAATTTACACCAGTAAATTGAATATAGCACTTTTATATTTACATTTAACAGACACTTTTATCCAAAGAAACTTACAAATGAGAACAACAGAAGCAGTGACACTAACAATAGGACAACAATATGCAAGTGCTATGACCCTTCCCAGTTTAATCAACAAAAAAGTACTTTGTACTTAAAAAAAAAATAAATATATATAGATTTGAACAGAGGAGAAAGATGCGTCTCCTGTACTTCTATATGTAGTACTGTACACAATCCAGTCGGCGGATCTCTCCTCAACCAAATGATCCAGTTCAAAGTGTCTTAATATTTTGTTTTGCTCAATGCTTTGAATCGACCACTGAAAGACGGGCCACCAAGATCCCACGATACAGTTAACTTAAACGCGATGGGGGAAAACGTATTTTTCTGTCAGGAACACTGTAGTCAAATACGATCGACAATTAGCATACAGTTTGTATTGGCGGTGTGGTTCTGTTCTGGCCAGCCTCGCATGGATAAGAGCAGAGATAACCCACTCTGGGTAACAGAACACAACCAAAATGAATGTATTGTAGATATAGTTAACACAAGATTTTAATTGTACAACTTAATTTGAGAATTTTGTCTGATTCAAAGGGGAATCCGAAATGCCGATCCTGACTGGACTGGAGAGGTCAATTTTTAAAGAAAAACTACACACTTGGTACATATACACACCCTCACCTAAAGGATTATTATTAGATTTCGCCTTCAGAACTGCCTTAAATCTACGTGGCATTGATTCCACAAGGTACTGAAAGCATTCTTTAGAAGTGTTTTCCTATTTGTAGTGGAGATGAGTGGTACCCAGTGGGGTCTTCTGCTGTTCAAGGTTGTGTGTGTTGTGTCTTTGCTGCATACCTCGGTTGTAACGAGTGTTTATTTCAGTCAAAGTTGCTCTTCTATCAGCTTGAATCAGTCGGCCCATTCTCCTCTGACCTTTAGCATCAACAAGGCATTTTGGCCCACAGGACTGACCCATACTGGATGTTTTTCCCTTTTCACACCATTCTTTGTAAACCCTAGAAATGGTTGTGTGTGAAAATCCCAGTAACTGAGATTGTGAAATAATCAGACACCAACAACCATGACACGCTCAAAACTGCTTAAATCCCCTTTCTTTCCCATTCTGACATTCAGTTTGGAGTTCAGGAGATTGTCTTGACCAGGACCACACCCCTAAATGCATTGAAGCAACTGCCATGTGATTGGTTGATTAGATAATTCCATTAACGAGAAATTGAACAGGTGTTCCTAATAATCCTTTAGGTGAGTGTCCTCGAAAGTTGTTATGTAGCAGCTTTGAAAGTCAGTGGCTAATTTGTTTTTCTTTTTAAAATGTGATTTAAAAAAAAAAAATTTTTTCAAAAGATCTTTTTTGAACGCTTTAAGCTGATGGCAAAATGAAAAAAGTCCGGTAAGGCATAAGTAAGGTTCGACATGACGTTAGATAGGTAAAAACATATTCAGGCTAATAATGTTACCTGAAGTCCTTTCAGATATGTTTTAGTTGAATCATGACAAATAAAAATAATAGAGAAACCTTGATTTTCTACAATGATATTGATTTGAAAAGAGGTTTGTAACTTTGTAATGAGTTCAAGATAGTATGGGCTCCAGACTATTAATAACTTCGCTGCGAGACCCAATGAGAAACATTCAGATTTGGCGCAGTTTTCTGTTATAAACCATAGATATCAGATCAAACATCACTGACGTGGAAACAAGGAGAAACACTGTGCCATGAATGAACAAGGTATAGAAGGCTTTAATTCCACAAATCAGCAACATTCACTATGGATTTAATGTGGTAACACTAACGGTATTGTGACAGAAATAGAAAAACGCTTACAAGTACTACAAATCTTTTTTCCAGCACTTCAAAACTATAATATCATATATAAATGGTATTTTTAAAGTGGGGACCAAAACAATTCAAAGATTGCCCCCCTTTATAGAAACTAAAAGTTTCAAGATGTAGGAAAACTCACTTACTTAAAAACAAAAATATTAAATGACCATTGTAAACAGTAGTTAGCTTCAGAGGACGTTTATCACTCTTTGATATCAATTTTTTGCTTTTGAATTAATATTAAGACATTATGAATGATGACATTAACTTGTATTACTTTTAATAGAGTAATATTTCACCAGTAGTGTCTATACATTCACTCAAATTAATGGAGTTGTGTACTTTGTCTACCTCTGCATGAATGTGTGTGTATTTGTATATACATATATACATAAACATATAATTCTATATGTGTGTGTGTGTGTGTTTTGGATATAAACTACATCTACCCACGTGCTGCTCTCAATAACAAATAGCTATATCCAAAACCTTGAGTGGCACATCTTACCCCCTTACATTGACAATTGTGTGAAGGTATGATGAGGAAAAACTGAAATCTGGTACCTTCAATGTCCAGTCTGATGGGTTTGTCGAAGTGCATCTCTGGAGAGTCAGACTTTATTCCATAGAAATAAAGTCCTGAATCTGATTCTGTTACTCCAGTAATAGTTAAAGAGGCTCCGGTGGCCCAACTGTCTGCTGTCATTTTCATACGAGCTCGGTTCTGATTGTAAGTGGTCAGAAGTTTTCTCCCGGTTTTGTCCTTCTCACCAGAAATTAGCAGAACGAGTTCATCAGATCTGAGAAGATACCAGGCGACTTCATCTCGGTTCCTCATGCTGCAGTTCAGAGTGATGTTTTCTCCCATCCGAACCCTCACAACAGAAGATCCTCCTAATGACAGATCTGGAGAAACATTCCTAATCATTACTATATAGGTTTAAAACAATTACATTATGAAATGCATTAAAAGTTTGATAATTTACCACTGGAAGAGGTTTGCATATTTAAAATCCAAATTACACAGAAGAAAATGATTTTTTTCATTTTTGTCTCAACAGATGCAAATAGTACACATACTGAACCACAATGCCGTTTTCATTTCCTTTATAGCTTTTCTACCTGCTGGTTTTTTCCGGTTTTAGGTTGCGATAACATTTATGGGAAATGGCATCAAAGCAAGCTTTTTCCAAGTAAAGTTCCTCTTAGATGTGTTTAGCATCAGATATGCTTAGTTAGCAAACCTGTAATGTCAAGAAATTTTCCAAGCAAAGCCATTTAGATACAAAAGCATCAGCTGTACACATTGACAACCATCTATATTTCCCCAGTTTTGTTTCAATTCCACAAAACTTTCCAAATTTCGTCACATAATTGCATGCAAGACATTGTATTTATTATTTCCTACACAGTATGAACGTAATTTCCAGTTTTCTCCTGGATCCTCTTCTGTGGCTCCTCGTCCAGATCTCTCTCACCGGAGAGTCCGTGGGAATCGCCGCTGACCTGCAACGTTCATGAGAGAAAAACTGCACACTCATTGCTCATCCTCATAAAGAAATTACTCATGGACAAAGCAAAAGCCAAACGATTTGTGTGGCAAAGTGCTGGAGAAAAGCAAGAAAAACCCCACGGATCAGCAGACAGGTGTGACAGCGTGTAACATGAAGCGTTTAACACAAACAATTCCAGACAATGAACTTAATGCAGACAGTTATGATGATTACAAATGAGTCAGCTGTGAGGAAGGTGATCAGTGTCCATGGTTACAGATTGGTGGTGGGAAACACTAGTGATGAATGAGAGAAAGTCCATGAACGGATCCATGATCTCTATTAATACATTTTTTTTTTTTTTATTTGCATGTTTTTATGATACCTACGTGTGCTTGTGTGTGTGTGTGTGTGTGTAGTGTTTTTAGATTTATTCACTTCGTAGTTTTATAATCTGTATTCATCTGTATATGCTACAGTATGCATTTATCATCAAAGTCTATAGTTTATTAACGGGATACTCCACTTTTTTTTTTTTTAAATAGGCTCATTTTACAACTCCCCCAGAGTTAAACTGTTGAGTTTTATCGTTTTTGAATCCATTCAGCCGGTCTCCGGTTCTGGCGGCACCACTTTTAGCATAGCTTAGCATACATCATTGAAGTGCACAAGACCATTAGCATTTCTCTCAAAAAAATTACCAAAGTGTTTCGATATTTTTCCTATTTAAAACTTGACTCTTCTATAGTTACATCGTGCACTTAGACAGACGGAAAATGTAAAGTTGCGATTTTCTAGGCTGATATGACTAGGAACTATAATCTCATTCCTGCGTAATAATCAAGACACTTTACTGCCGTACCATGAGTGCAGCAGGCGCGATGACTACACAAACTTAGTCCCGGTCACGTTAGAAGCTGGGGACTATTTTCAGGCGCTGCGTCAAAACATTACGCCTGCTGCACTCATGGTACGACAGTGAAGTTTCCTGATTATTACGCAGGAATGAGATTATAGTTCCTAGTCATATCAGCCTAGAAAACGCAACTTTACATTTTCCGCCTGTCTTAATGCACAATAGAAGTAACTATAGAATGTAACTATAGAAGAGTCAAGTTTTAAATAGAAAAAATATCAAAACACTTTGGTAATTTTTTGGGAGAAATGCTAATGGTCTTGTTCACTTCAATGATGTATGCTAACTAAGCTATGCTAAAAGTGGTAGAACCGGAGATCGGCTGAATGGATTCAAAAAAGGTAAAACTCAACAGTTTAACTCTAGGGGAGTTGGAAAATGAGCATATTTCCAAAAAAAAAAAGTGGAGTATCCCTTTAAATTTGATAAATCATTGCAATTATTTTTTAGTTTTAATGAATTGCAAACTTTTTTTTACATTATTGTCCTTTGCTTCAAAAAAGCAGCGGGTTTTGTTGAAGCTAGTGGAACGTTCAGCAAAAAGATCATAGTAGTTCTAGTATTATAGTAGTCATAGTGTTATTACTAAATAGTAATATTAATTCAATTAAAATAATAAAAAAGGATAAGAGAGATAGTTTATCACTTGATAAAATTTAGGATAAAATAAGACTTTACTGATGGGATTTTTACATGTTGCAGCCATTTACAGACAGTGAGAAAATTAAATGGAAGACCAATACAACTAAAAATTAAAAATCCATTTAAAGAACATACAAATCTCGGTACGATATGTCCAGAAATGTCTTCTCATAAATGTCTAGCTAAATCAGTCAATTCTAACCCTCACTTAATGCTGTAACGAGTGTTTCTTTCGTCCTGACTGGAACTTCTCTGACATTTAACCCCAATTTACTTATACTTAAAAAGGAAGTAAAAGCAAGTATACTCAAAAACTTTGTCAAGGCTAACTTTAAAATGTATTTCAGCACAAAATAATCGGTAGATTGATCATCAGTGTTGTGTGAAAGGAAAAACACAACTTGTAATTGGAAAAAAAAAAACTACAGCTTCAGTAAGTTACTTACCCTGCTCGAAAACTGCTTTCCAATCCAAACCTCACCACAGGAAACGATGAGGAAGAAAATCACGTGACATTTGACAGCTCACTGATTGGCTGAAAGTGCTGTCATTGGTTGAAACAGGTTGAAATGCAAATGTTAGTAGAAAATAGCTTCTTACAGGTTTTCCCCTACTTCCTTGCACGAGGGACTTTCTGAGAGGAAATATTAACCCTGGAACTGCATTTAGCGTTAATTTCGAGTAAGTTAATTTAATTTAGAATTTTGTTATAATTTTGTAACATTACAGGATTGAAATTTATTAAGAATTACACAGCAAGAAGAGAATAGCTGTCTATGAAAATAGAGTCTTGGTATATAAGAACAAGTAAAAGTTGTGAAGTTAGTTTATACAAGTTGAAGGTATAGAGAGAATTGAACATTAAGCTCATGTACTGTTGTCATGTTATAGCTTTATCGATTGATTCTAAAGCCTATATATATATATATATATTCCTTTAAAGTGTGTGCAATAATAACAATTGATAAACTAAAATTGTACATGTGCAATCAATTATTAATTACATAAAAAATATATTACATACAAAATTAAATAAATACATAAGCGTTACTAAAAGCCAGATGATTTTGTCTTTAAAGCTACAGTACATAGCTTTTTTTTGTGTGTGTTAAAACTTATCCAAAATACATAACCAGCCATGTGTTTTCATGATTTACCACAGCTTAAGTGAAATAAATGCAACATTTGCCAAATAAACAGATTTTCCAGATATTTCAGACACATTTTCAAGCATCTGTTTGAACTAGAATAAAGTTCAAAATAAGCCTATATCAATGAAGTGTAGTCAACGTTATTTAATCAGTTTTATTTTGATAAACATGACACAATATAACATCGCGACTACATGATAAGACTGTTTACTGTTATAGAAAACTGATTTGTGAGCTTTAGTGGAACTAAAGGTGTGAGAATAAACCATAGGAATAAACACGAAACGCATGTGATCGTTGTCATGCGGTGAATCCGGCCAATCGTGGAACAGCTGCGACATCATCAGAGCTCGTGCAGCCGCTCTTGAGAAGCTGCGCTGGCTGAGTCCTCCGGCTACTCTCGAATCGCTCTCGCGGTACTTTGATAGCATACGTCACAGTCACGCGGAGTCAGCGCTGCATCGGACAAAATTTGCGTTCACTGCTTCAAGTCAGCCACCGATTGGTCAGCGCAGATCTACATGAAGTCGAATAAGCCTGATAATTTGCTATGAAGTGACCTTTAATTTGGAGTGGAAACAGGTGGAGGGACTATCGCATCATAAGACATGTGACACTTTGCTCACAGCTGATTTGTCTAAGCTCTTACCTGGAGCATCACCTGACCCGGATCAGGTTAGCCGTAGAGCACGAATTATGGCGATGAACACTGCTAAAAGCCAAAGCACTTTCATGGTGCCTAAAACCCAGGGTTAGCGCAAACTAAACTGAAAAATCTGGCTATCCCCTAAACCGGCTTCACGGTACAGGCCCCTGATCGGAGGCTTCAGTAAATATTTAGTTTATACATAGGTACGCTTCAACTTTACTTAAATGGTGCAACACAACAATTTTTAGTAGGGCGTAAGTTGTATCTTACAGCCCATTGATGTCAAAACTAGGCTAAGTTGTAACTTACAATCACTGGAGCTGTGCGAAGTTCATTCCTGCTTGAAACGCTCCACATAATCCCCATCCAAAAAAACTAAGCAAAAAAACATTTCACAGGACTGAATGACTACAGACATGTTGGCTCAACATCTATGGCACGGCACTGTAAGCACAGATTTTATATCTAATAAACATTTTAATTTCAATATTTAAGTTTGATTGAATTTTATTTGATTGAATTAAGAAGTTGATTCAAGTGTGCTAATTATTATGAATTATTTTCTGATCCCGTTTGAATTGTGCAATGAATGTAACATATGTTGTCTGTGAATTTTTTATATAATGTTTCGTGTAAAGAATGCTACAATTTAGCGGGTAGAATTTTCATACTGTTAGACTTTGTGTGAGAGCACTTTGTGGACTACAACTCGTTCGACGTGTTTGATATACATCACCCCCACTAGCACACGGATCCCGCTAAACATGCCTGTGTCTTTGGTGCACTTCGCCGCCTTCTTTCAGGGAGAGGACAGACTAGTTGAGCGTGGTGAAAACTGATTTGTGGAGGGAAAATGTGTTATGCGGCGCGTGTAGTCTTTCTCGTTATGTCTATTCCTCAACTGCTAGCCAAAGAATCATGCAATATACTGTCAAACTCGTTACATGAGAAATTATATAAAAAATTCACAGACAACATATGTCACATTCATGGCACAGTTCAAACGGGATCAGACAATAATTATTTTCTCTCATTCACTTGCATTGACGCTTTTTCAACCTAGAGGTCCACTCTGAGTTTTACGGATGGGCGGGACTTGCCAGCTCTATATCAAATCATTTCAAGAAGAGGCATGGCTTCTGGGAAGCAATATGGTTTGGGTCTTTCATTAACACCTCTCAGTGAGGGGGGAATTTACCGCGGAAAGACCAACAGAGAGAGACAGAGAGAGAGATATGACATACACCCCTACTCTTTACAAGAAGTGCCATGGGATTTTTTTCATGTCTTCATAAAAAAAAAGTCAAAATTTCCTCACTTTTCTTTCTACTCGTTGTAACTTTGCCATTGGTGGTCAAGATTATAATAATCTTTGGAAATACTACCGTTACTCTGTTCGCACTCCACTTCATATGCTAAAGAATTTAACGCTCGTATTAGCTCTGCCGCAGCAATTTTTTCAACACGTTTTACTCCAAACACGTAACATAGCCATAACATGTTATGTTTACCTTTTGCAGAGTCCCGCCTTGATGCAGTGATTGACAGGGCAGGAGGGGCCGTGATTGGCTCGCTACATTCATTGTGGGACATTTAATGAAAATGCCATTGCAAGTGTCTTGACTGTGACTGTAAATGCAATTAAGAAAAATAACATTTGAATGATCATTTTGCCACAGTTTTTGCTTGAACATGTTACACATATCTAAACATTTCTATAATGCACTTTAATTTAAATTTTGCCACTTATAAAGCATTTTAAAACTGGCAAATGTATTTTTTTTCAAACGTTGGTAGAATGGTAATGTAAAATGTAAATTTAAATACAGAATGCAATGCCATTTTACATATTGCATTGTCATTTTTCATATTACATTTCAAATTGAATATGGCTACCTATATGCTTCCATATGTGTGTGCGTGTGTGTTAGTCATAACCTGTTCTCATGCTTTCATTATTATACGTATACGTGGGTCTAAATGTTTTCAGTAAGGCATTGACATTTACAGATGAATGGATAGGCTACAGATGAGTTAGTGTGCTTAAAATACAGGAACAATTGTTTAAAAATCAAAGAACATGTCATACGAGCTGTGTGATTTTGAAGCCTGAACATGCGGAACTTTACCATGTAAGTTATAACTTCTAAAACGTGTTGCTTGTGTGGGCCTAGCCTATTTATAAAATATAAATGTATAAAAACTAAGTTTTATTTCCTACAACGGATTGTAACCTCAAACATCACTCTTTTTTTTAACACCCCGTTACTGTTTGGATCTGAGAAACCGTTGCATCAAATGAAGTGTGTGAACTGTCCGAATGAATCAAACTAAATAGCGAACGATTTCAGACATTTTACAACGCCGTTTGACCGATTATATAAAAAGGGTGACAGGTTCGCGAATCTTCGACATCGCTTTTTCCACGAATCTTCTAACGTTAATGCTCTCCGACCGACACACTCTCTTTCCTCAGACACACATTAGACTGACTTACTCAATTCGCCTGCTTTCAGGGCGCCAAGCTGGTTTGCCGATTGCGACACGTGATTGTCAGACGGTTTGCATATTTTTAAAGGAAAGTGATGTTACGTGACTAACCGATGAAAATGTCCTTACAGCAGGAATAACGGTCAGGGGATCTCTGGATAATCCGTAATTCGTTGATTATCCAGAGATCCCCTGTCCAATAACGTTAATATGACTGTTAAAACTAAAAGTGTAAACCAAATGTGTCTCGCTGTTGGTTGATTTGCAGTTTTGATTTTGGTTCCAAACGTGTGTGCAACCAGAGAATGTCTACTTCCGGTTTCTGGACTGGCTGCAGTAACACGTCTCTGTCCATGCGGGGGCGCTCGCGGTCGAGTGCAGAATGAATGGGAGTCAATGGGGTTTCACCCCAAGAAAAACACTTTTCTCAGGATGTAATTTTTTGTCAAGTAATTTTAAAGTTGCATTCAAAAGGGAGGGCTAAGATAATACACTCAGCTGAACATTGCATTTTTAAGTTCTCTTATCTGTTCTAAAAATCCGTTCAAAAATGTGATGACGTCACACAATAGCAGAATGCTAGCGTGTTCCGGCCAACAACGGCCTAACCTGTAAGAAATCAAAAGGACATAAGTACTCGTTCATTCGACTTTAGCCTATAATCTATATTGAACTTGGAGAATCAACTATAAAATCTATTTTGATTTAACGACAAGCAGGTGAAAGAGACACATTTAGCCGTTTAGCCCCATAGACTCCCATTCATTCTGCTCTCGCCCGCGATCACCCCCAGTGGAATTCTAATGGAACTGCAACCAAGATGATACACAACAGGGTAGACGGGCTCTGGTGCAACTGAGAATTGGTTTGTTCACGTCATCAGCACGTTTAAGTTTAATGCATCATGTCATAAGGATAAATAGTTTTAGCGTCGCAGCAGGGACTTATTTCCAAACCACAATTGTTTACCTTTAAGTAACATTTATTTGAATTATGCAAGTTTTATTGTTTTTTTTCTCTAGTGTCCTGTAGGTAGTGATGGGAGAAAAGAAGCGTCTCAAAGCTTTGAATCAATTGGCTCGCAAAATGATTCACTGTTTCGAATCTCCACACGCTGGCGACTCCTGCTGGTCAGGACAGTGTAAATACAACAAACGCAGAACAAACATGCAGAAAAACAGCTTTTACAGACACATGCAGTAGCAAAGTAAAACTATCAACTGCCGTTAACTTCTAATAAGATTAATATAACCTTCTGTTTTCTTATCAGGATGAATCATCTTCCTCTTCTGCTGCTGTACTTTATCATTTATAGTGGTTAGTATCATTTAAGTTTATATGTTATTAGGTGTAATATTTTTTTGTATTCTTATTTTTATATTTTTATAAAACTTGTTTTTCTGTTGTGCCACTCAGTGATTTGATGGTATTTGATTATTGATGGTGTAAATTTCCCATCATATTACATCAATAACACACACTAATATCAATGGTTTATCTACGTATACAGTTTCTTCTGGTTCATTGATTAATAAATATTGTTCAGGAGTTCACTGACATACATTTGAAACAGGTGTAATGTGCCACTTCTAATATTGTTGGCTACTTTTTGCCTTCATTTATTTATTTTACTCTAGGTTACTAAAATAACTCAACTAGAATATATCAAGATCATATTGACTCAAGAAAAAAGAAACAAACACCACATCTATTTTTCTGTTAAATACTTTGTATTGAGTGAATATTACTGTGTGTGTGCAGGATCCTCCAGTATACCTGTGTCAGGAACAGGATCCTCCAGTATATCTGTGTCAGGAAAAAAGGGAGGAATCGTCACTCTATCCTGTGGATCTGAGGACAGAGAGATTGTGGAGATCAGATTATACAGTGTGTCGAAACACATCCCTGTGTGTGAGGAGAGAAACTGCAGCGGTCGAGTGTTTAAAGAAGGATCATGTGACGTCATCATCAACGACCTGATCTACAGGGACGCTGGGAAATACTTTACATATATTTATTACATTAATGATCAGAGAGAACTGGAGCATCAGACGAAGGAATATCTTCTTCATATTCACGGTAAAGTCAAAACTGATCAAACATCAGTATGTGTTTTCATGATTTTCTTTAATCGTTTTGGGATTGTTGTGAATTTATTAGAATATATGTTTAATTAATTAACAGAGAGAGAGTTAATAAAGTCATTTATAAGGTTGTTCAGCTTTAAGAAAAGTCTCCCCATAATGAAGTGTAGTAGCCGAGAGCACGCTGAAAGCAAAAAGAGAGAAGAGAAGAGATTTGACTCCATTTGTGTGCGCTGTATCTCTGATAATCCGGTGTTCTGTCGATTTTTGCTGGCTTGTCGAAAAATGCTACCGTAGCGCGAATTGATCACAGAATAAAGTCGTATGAAATACAATTATAATACAATTCTAAGTAAGTAGCTACCGTATACTGTAGACTACTGTTTTTATTTTTAAAAAGGTGTGAAAAGTAAAGATTATCATAAAATATTCATCTTTGACTTGTCAAAGTACACCTTTCCTCATAGTAACTGAAACTTTCAGTTATTCTTTTTCAGCTGGCTGACCGTACAAATATTCATATGGTAGTAAGCATTTTTTAAAGGGAAATACACAAATACACATACAAATACACAAAGGGAATATACATTATAACAGGAAAATGTACCTTTTGTTTAAAAAAAAAAAAACTGTTAGCCCGCACATGCGCATAACCGGTAAGTAGCAAATCTCCCCAATCTACCCAAAAATGGGTAGCATGAATTGTCAGAACACCTGTTCAAAAACTTCGGTAAACAGTTAATTTTATTTTAATTCAAGTCGTCAGTGGTCATTACTGCTCGCTGAGAAGAAAACACACGACAGGAATGGCATGCAGGTGTAGCACACTTGAAGGAATGAACAAGCGTGTGAATGGTTGGGTTCTTTTTATTCAGCCAGCGTCATTCGCAACAGCTCCGTGCAACACAGTACAACATAACAAATCTCGTCATAACCTCGCGTGCCGTGAACATCACTCTACACTTATAATCTCGTCTAGGTTTTTCCTCTGGCTTACCGCCACCCACTGGATCTCACGAATATAAGTGCATACTGACTAATTAAATAACCACCATTAATAAAATAACTGAAATAACAAAAAACATTACACAGGGGGGGTGGGTCTAGCTTTTAACTCACAATTATCTTATAACAATTATTAAATTACATATATTCTATCAATGTATATTCTAGATTTCCCCACACAGGACTAGAGGAATGGGACAAGATTAATATTCAGAGTGGATTAGGTTTTTTGTAAATGGATGATTTTATCCAAATAATAAATTTTTACATCTGGTCCCCCAGTCCTCGTCTGCACCAGTCTGTCTTTCTCTCTTCACTACACTACCCAGAATCCTCCTCGTCTCCACACCTGAACTCACTCCCTCACTTACCTGCATGTTCTTCGTTTTCATCATCGGTGTGACCTGTCCTCACATCGTTATGGTTCATTTGTATCTGTATTTAGTTTGCTTCTGTTCAGACATCGTTAGACAACTATGGTCGCAATTTCCATTGAACTCTATTGGTAACAACGGAACTTGCGACCATAGTTGTCTAACAATGCTTTCGGGAAACGCACCCCTGGCCGGTCGTTGTCTACGTTACTTGGTTTTGTGTGCGTGATACCTTCGGCCCGTCATCCTGTACCTGTGTCTGGAATCTAGTAAATGTTTATTTGAATTGGAGCCTTCTTCAGTCAGCACCACACCCGTGACGATGTGTGATTATGGCCTTGATTAAATGACACTCATAATGATGATTGAGGATCTCTGTTTCTCCTCAGGTGAGATCTGTGTGAAGAAAGGAGAGGATCTGAAGTTGGATGTTTTGGTGACAAAAGCTGATAAAGTGGAGAGAAACTCTGGCTCCGGCTGGACAGTGCTGTGGAGGAGAGGTCACGTGGTCAGCAATGATGGACTGAGCGTCAGTGAGCAGACTCTGATCATTAGTAATTTTACAGCCAACGACTCTGGAACATACAGAGCTCTGGACTCTAATAATGAAGCCTTGATCACAGTCACAGTCACAGGTGAGAGAACAGACCAGCACAAATATTATCTTTAATCAGCAAATTAATACGAAACTGCATCAATAACCTTCAATATTCTGGACAGAATCTGTTACAAACTCAAAGGGAAATCTGAACAACACTGAAGAAGCCAAAACTGACGACACTGAACATCGACGTGAGTAAAACATGAGAGAATTACTGAAGATCTGAAACAGTGAATTAAAAATATAAAACAACTCTCTTCCCTCTTTCTCCTTCAGCTGTAGATCATTGGATGTTGCCGGTTGGACTGACTGTGGTTCTGCTGGTTCTGCCGGTTCTGATTGGTGTCGTGATATACAGACGTTGCCACAGAGATCACTCGAGGGTGGACAGCACTGACTTCAGGGATCCAGATGACAGTCTGCCAAGGGTCTGTGGATCATGATGAAACTAGTGCTGTAGTTCTCCAGTTCAGTCTCTAGGGGTTTCTCGTTCAGTCGTCATGGTTCACGAATATAGATTGGCGAATACAGAAAATCCCCAAAAACATCTCTGGATGGTGAAAATGACATCTACCATCGTCCTACTATCCTTCATAGCGTCATCAAGTTTCGTCTTTGTTATTGTTTTGAAAAGACGACCGCTGGCGGCCAAAGAATGACACATTGAAGCTTTAAAAGCGGCTATAACACCACAGAGACTGGATGTTTTTACGCACAAAGTTTGTTTAATTGTGTCCCTCACCTAACACACCAGGGGCCTATACCATGAAGCCGGTTTAGGTGGCTAGCCAGCTATGTTTCAGTTTAGTTTGCGCTTATCCTGGGTTTTAGGTACTATGAAAGCGGTTTGGCTTTTAGCAGTGTTCATCGCCATAGTAACTTACACTCCACGGCTAACCTGGTCCGGGGCAGGTGATGCTCCAGGTAAGAGGTTGCAAAACGAACTTGTACCAATCAGCTGTGAGCAAAGTGACACATGTCTGACGCGATAAAGTCACTCCACCTGCTTCTACTCCAAATTAAAGGTCACTACATAGCAAATTATTTTAAAGACAAAATCATCTGGCTTTTAGTAATGCTTATTTAGAATGATACATTTGTATGATTTAGAAATGATGTAATTATTATACCCTTAAACAATATCACATGTAATTTCAGTTCATCAATTCTTATTATGCAGATTTTAAATGAATACTTACATAAAGTTAATATATTTTTGCTTTAGAATACATAAATTAAGCAGCTATAAAATGACTAAATGTAAGCTTAAATGTTCAATTCTCTATACATATATATAACTTTTACTTGCACTGATACAGTAGCGAGACTTTTATAGCTTAGACAGCTATTTTCTTCTTGCTGTGTAAAGTTGATTAAATTCTTAATATTTAAATACTTATATTAAGTGAATTGCGCTACTTCTCTCACGAGAAATTAATTTCAATGAGTTTTGAATAAGTTTAACTCATTCTCAGCATGTGATTGGATGTTCGTTACTGATGTCACACCTAAACTCCAAAACTCAGGATCAAAGCCTGAGTCGACAGTGAAAGTTGATGATCAGCATCATGGCACCAACAAAGCCTGGTTTGGTTTTGTCAACTCGAAACTAATCCTGCAACTACCATCATAGTACAGGCCCCTGATTCAACTTAAAAGCTCATTAGTACAGACTGCAATATTTGAGTTGGCTGTCTGATGAGAGAGACATACAAAATTTGCAGTGGTTAGGGGTCCCCAGGACAGGTTTGAGAATCACTGGCTTAGCAAATAGACAATTACACTGAAAGATATTACAGTAAGTTACATTATAAGGAGTATCTCCTTGACTACAGCCATCACCGACCTGCTCTTTCCTCCCCACCTACAGCAGAGGAGCAGCAGGATCTCATCTGTGAAAATAAAATAAATAGACAAGACAGGCAGACTGGGACAATGCTACGATCAAAGAGGCTTGTGTTTTTACTGGCACTTGTCTTATTTAAGCTAAAGTGCCCCTATCATGGTTTTTAAAAGTTTGCTAATGTTGTTGTAGAGTCTCCTACAACATGTGTTACATACAACAAATGTAAAAAAAATGTTTAATTTCCTCATAATATACAATATACATTTGCACATCATCACATTTTCAATGATTCTCAAACGACTCGTCAAATGAATCAATCTTTCTAAATCCTTTACCTTCACAGTATGCACTGCGCCGTCTTCTCGACATGATGATGCTGTCCAGTTCAGGAATCAGCTGCCGTTTGAGGTTTACGTTTCCCTGTGAGTGCGCGCACAATAACTGGGCGCAGACAATAGTATTGACGTAACAACGTAAAGGCTAATGACTCATTTGAAAAACGATTAATTTCATTGACCCAGAGTCGAGTAAGTTTTGAAAGACAATAACTTTATATATGATGCACTTTCAGATTTAAAATTTTGCAGGATGTTTTCATTCACTTAGAGCTATGTTACACACTACATGAAAGGTCATTTTCAAAAGTCCATGATAATAGGGACTCTTTACAGATGGAGTACATTGAGTCCGTCAACACCTCAAAGCTTCACAGTCCTGTAGCTCGTACTGGGTCGACATTTCATTCAGTCACATTAGGCAGTTTTGATTTATATGCTATTTAATATTTGAAGGTTGTGTTATTTTAAATGTGTGTCAGCCGCAATGCTTTAAATGAAGGGTTTTCTCGAGCGCCCTGTTTGCAGTCGACATACGCCCTCAATGAGCACTTTTGTAGAGCCTGCACTGACTTCGCACTGAGAAAAATGTCAAAGTGGCGTTACCTCACAAAAGTGGAAGGAAGACCGCAGCTGTCTTCTTCTACAAATTTTAACTACATTTTCTAATACGATTTGTTGACTTAAAAAGTCTAGCAAAACTTTAAACACTTTGAGGGAATGTTTTACCAAATTTGACTTCCATTTTGTAACAACAAACCGTCCTCTTATAAGCAGGCCTTTTGTTTATCCCTCGTCCTTATTCCACATTCATTTTTGCCCTTGGATTTCGAATGTTTTTATATATATATATATATATATATATATATATATATGAATTAATCAATTTGTCCAATAATGGCAGACAGGAAACAGAGAGCTGGCTTAAGTTCAGGAAGTAGTGCAGTTGTGCATAAAGCCTATTAAACACATCTTCATCATTTCAGTATGCTAGTGTGTAGAGTATCTGTCAGAAGGCAAATTAACTGTTGATATGGTCACTTGATGAAGTATATTGTTCCCTTCTACTGTCTGTCTATTTAAATTGTGTAACTTAATAAATAACTTCCTGCTTTAAAAGTTTTAAGCGTCTTTCCTTTCATCACTGTTGTTTCTCACCTTTTCAGGATTGCAGCGTAAGAATTGCTTCCTGTCTTCACCTTAGAAAAAAATGACTTCCTCCTTCCCTACTTCAGAAAACACATGCACAGTAATGCAGTGATGACATGTGGACTGAGAACAGAAACATTTATATGTTAAATGGTAAAAAAAATTAATTAATCTCCCAGAATAGAGCCTTCATTTGTATGAAACCTGTAATATTTAAGATCATGAACTAACACATTTATAGCCAAGTTTTGCTCACCAAGCTTAAGTAAACTGCATTGAGAAATCAAGAGAATTTCAATGGTCATGAAACACCAACACATTTTTAAGATGTGTTGTATATCAATGAAAACAACAATGTCATTCATTATGTTTATTATTAGGGGGAAAGTGGTTCTTTTGTCTATTTCGGAGCCAATTCATTCTTCCGATTTAAAAAGCAAAGTTGAACGAACGTCTCGGAGAGTGTGTTTGTTCGGAGTTGCGATTGGCTACTTGATGTGCGGATGCAACACTATTGACTATTATCCAATGCTTTATATGTCTCTGACGTAAGTGGAAACACTGTGGTTTAAGTGTCTCTGCATTGATCTAAACCCTATCCTTTTATCAACACCTTAACAAACAACAGACACAATGGAGAAAGTCATTTTCTTCTGTGTATTTTCTTGTTGGATTATGCAAATCACATCCAGTGGTAAATATATTCTATCTCAAACATTCATGAAATTAACATATCAACCTCAAATACTATAGATATCAACAGTCTAAAAGGATGAGTGTTTATTATAAACGTTTCTCCAGATTTGTCAGCAGGAGGATCTTCTGTTGTGAGAGTTCGGATGGGAGAAAACATCACTCTGAACTGCAGCATGAGGGACAGATATGAAGTCGCCTGGTATCTTCTCAGATCTGATGAACTCGTCCTGCTAATTTCCGGTGAGAAGGACAAAAACGGGAGAAAACTTCTGATCAACTACAATCTAAACCGTACTCGTGTGAAAATGACAGCAGACAGTTGGGTCACCGGAGTCTCTTTAACTATTACTGGAGTAACAGAATCAGATTCAGGACTTTATTTCTATGGAGTAAAGTCTGACGCTCCAGAGATGCACTTCGACAAACCCATCAGACTGGACATTGAAGGTACCAGATTTCAGTTTTTCTCATCATATCTCAAATTAGTCAATGTAGGAGGGAGTGGGTAAGATCTAAACATGCTTTTTGTTTTAATGGTTTGTAAATGAGAGCATGAGAAGATATAAACCTAGCACTAGACTTTGCTTAACCAACATTTTTCAGTTGAGGAGTGGTCTTAAAAAACTACTTAAAATTACAGAAGCAGTTTTTTGTGTGTGTGTTTGTCACAATGTCAGTGTTTTTATTTCTGTTCTTGTGTGTGTTTGGTTTATCCGTTATAGTCTTCCTTTGTTCCTGTTTTTAATATACTGTATACAGTTTTTGATTGAATGTTAGTTTAGTTCCAGTGTGTCTTGTTAATTTGCTCTTCAGTTCTGTCTATTAAACCCTATTTAGGCCCTGCCTCCTCCATTGCTGCAACTATTTGTTACAGTGTTAATATCTATTTAGAAACAGATCATATATTCACAGGTCTTTTTTTATAGAAAAGGCGAATGCAGAATGTCAAATCACAGGTAATGTGTTTCTTGTTTATTTAATAGATTTTTCTATTTGTTGTAATGGCTCTTCTGTGGAGATCTGGCGCTAAATGTTGTATATGAATGTGTGTAACTCTTCTGTGTCTGTAGACGAGGTGACGGTGACGGAGCGTGTGTTGATGTTCGCTGGTGTTGGACTGGCTGTGTTTGTGTTTTTTCTGGCTACAGTCGTCGCAGGAAGAGTCATTTACCATCGTGGACAGCAGAAAGGATGGAAAGCAGCGAAACAAGAAGCTCAAGAAGTGTCTGAAACCCAAATCAGCTAAATGACACATTTATTTGCTTTATTTGACAATCTGAGCTTTGCACTGCCAGTAAAATAAGCATATCTGTTGGGAAACACAAATGGCAACAGACAACTTTGGCTCAGACGCTTTTCCTGTTTATCAGATTTCACTTCGAGAAAACTGAGATGTTGTGGTAAAGGTCGCCTTTATTCAGCACCAGTGAAACTTAAAAAATCTCTAACGGTTGTGGGGATTATTCAGGTGCATAAGTGGATCAGTTAAATTTAAATTATTTTCTCTTTAATGCAGTATTTGTTAAGTCATTATCAATGAACCATATGCATGCTAGAGTCTTTGTAGCGGGCGAGCCAATGTCTTTATTCAAAAAGAACAGCAAACAGTTTCTTTTTAATGCAAACATATGCTTATACATCATTAGACCAGCAGGACTTCGGATAAAAATGAACGCTGTGTCTGGCTATATCTTTACACTTTATATAATTTTCTTGGAGCATTGATGTAACTGTTTTCAAGAGAAAATATAAATGTAATTCTCGATTTAATAAAAATGTAAACAGATGAATTCAATGATAAACGTGTTGTTGAGAGCAAATAAAGCAAATAAATCTGAGCAAATAAAGAGCAGTTAAACTGAAATTTCATATGTGCATTTTCTGCCAATGCTAAAACTCTTCAGCGCACCGCTTCACCGTCAATGTTTGACAGACCTTCTCACATAGTAACCGTTGCTATGATGTGTGATTGGACAATGGCCGTTTTGGGGGAGGGGCCGGCGAAGGGTCAATTAAGGTATTTATATGCTGTTTAATATTTGAAGGTTGTCTTATTTTATGTGTGCATCAGCAATGCTTTTAAAGGCCCATTTTAGGTTTCAGAAGAGTGTTCTCGAGCACCCCCCTTTGTAATCGATATATATGCCATAAATGCGCAATTTTGCAGAACGTGTAAAGATTCGGCCGATACATCTTTGATAAGATGAAAGCATGTCGGCCCACTGGGAATCTCCTGGTAGTCCCGATGGCCAGATAGATAGCCTACATGCCTGGACGTCACACTTTAAATCCTACCTATTGGCTTTCACCATGCACTTATTTAGCTGCTGTCGCATCAATCGACATGCCATCTCCTTTTCCCTCTTTCTTTTCCTATTTTGAGCCCCCCAGCATTTTGTTTGTTATCCCTCTTTTTCGATGACAATTAACTACTCCTGCTGTACAAAAAGACAACGAGAAACTCGAAGATATTTAATTGTTTCTATAAACTATTATAAAAAATCAAACGTTTATAGAGTGTAATTCACCATCACAAGGAAAGTAAACTAAGAAGAAACTAAATTAACTTTCAATTAAAATATGAACAGTTTTAATCATTACTACTCACAGAAGCGTCTCCAGTTAATAATGTGGATAATCCTTCTTCAGATCAGAAAGCAGCTTCACTCCTGAGTCTATTAGTTTATTTCCAGTCAGACTCAGTTGTCTCAGGTGTGAGGGGTTTGATCTCAGAGCTGAAGTCAGAGCAGCACAACCTTCATCTGTGACACCACAATAACTCAACCTGTAGAGAACAATGATCCGTCTCTCAGTTCAGGATCTAGAGCTCAGATCAGCAGGAACTTCAATAATTGCACAAATATTATTTTTTTTAGGCAAGCCAGTGAAATAGAGGACTATGTTGGGACATTTTATACAATCTTACCGCAGTGTTTCCAGTTTACAGTGAGGATCCTGCAGTAGATCAGAAAGCTGCTTCACTCCTGAATCTCCAACATTATTCTTTGACAGATCCAGTTCTCTCAGGTGTAAGGGGTTTGATCTCAGAGCTGAAGCCAGATTAACACAACCTTCATCTGTTACACCACAATCCCACAACCTGTAAAGAACAATGATTAATCTTTCAGTTCAGGATCGCTGGAGATACCAGGTAGAAGTCACTGAGGCAGGGTTAGTGGTCCTCTTCATACAAATGAAACCGGACAATGAACTGTGGTGAAGTGTGTGTCTAAATAGTGGCAGTGATGAGGGTGATGATGAGGTGCAGGTGTGTGTGATTAGAACTGAGGAGGTGAGGGAGTGTGCTGTGATTGGCTGGTGTGAGAGCCTGGCAGATCTGTAACACAATCATTATTTACTATATGAGACTTTTTTATACAAACTTACCACAGTATCTCCAGTTTACAGTGCGGATCCTTCAGTAGATCAGAAAGCTGCTTGACTCCTAAATCTCCTATTTTATTCCTTGACAGACTCAGTTCTCTCAGATGTGAGGGGTTTGATCTCAGAGCTGAAGTCAGATCAGCACAACCTTCATCTGAAACACCACAATCCCACAACCTGTGGAGAACAATGATCAGTCTCTCAGTTTAGGATCTACAGCTCAGATAAACAGGAACTTCACAATCAAACACTTAATTCACGGCACCATAAGCAGGTCCAGTGTAAGGTTCAGACCCACTTCTACAATCTTCTTGAGCGGGTTCGAATCTATTTGAAAAAAATTGCAAGAATATTCGACAACACTTTATTTAACAGTGTCCTTGTTACATATGTTACATGAACTTACCATAGTAATAACAGTAATTTATGCAACTAACCCTCAACCAAATCTTAATCCTAACCATACCCTATAGTAAGTATGTGTAGTTGCTTAATATTACTCAATACTTAAATATATGATTACACTTTAACAATGAAAACTTGAAATAAACTGTAACCGAATATAATATTTGGTGATGATGAGGCGCAGGTGTGTGTGATTAGAACTCAGGTGAGGGAGTGTGCTGTGATTGGCTGGTGTGAGAGCCTGGCAGATCTGTAACACAATCATTATTTACTATATGAAACATTTTAAACAAACTTACCTGAGTATCTCCAGTTTACAGTGAAGATCCTTCAGTAGATAAGAAAGCTGCTTCACTCCTGAATCTCCTACTTTATTTAATGACAGATCCAGTTCTCTCAGGTGTGAGGGGTTTGATCTCAGAGCTGAAGCCAGATCAGTACAACCTTCATCTGTTACACCACAATCACTCAACCTGTAGAGAACAATGACACTCTTCAGTCTCTCAGTTCAGGAAACACTGATAAAATACTGATTACAGTATTGATTTTATTAGAAATTCCATGCTATATATATATTATCATAAATATGATAATGTTTTATCAGTGTAATGATTGTTGTCAGAGGGACTTACTGAACTGATCTGGCTTCTTTAACCACAGGCAGCAGCTTCTGAAGAACTTCATCTGCTGTATTTTGTGCTCCGATAAACTGTTTCAGATCAAAAACATCCATCTTGTGTTCTGATGTCAGCAACACATAAACCAAAGCTGACCATTGTGAAGTGGAAAGTTTGGTTACTCCTATTTCTCCAGATTTCACATAATCTTGGATCTCCTGCATCAGTGAATCCTCACCCAGTTCATTCAGACAATGGAAGAGATTGATGGATCTCTCAGGAGAGCGATTCTCCCCGATCTTCTGTTTGATGTACTGAACTGTTTCCTCTTTGTTGTAGGAGTAGCTTCCAGTCTGTGTCAGTAGTTCTCGTAAGAGAGTCTGATTGGACTCCAATGAGAGACCCAGAAGGAAACGCAGGAAAAGGTCCAGATGCCCATTTTTACTCTGCAAACCCTCATTTACAGCCCTCTGATGCAGCTCGGATAATGAATGATATTTCTTCTGGTTTAAGATTTTAGAAAAAAAACTTTGTTTGGTTTTGTCAAATACATTTCTGTTCTTACATGTTAAGTAAATGTGTGCATATATAGCTGCTAGATGCTCCTGGATGCTCAGATGAACAAAGCAGAAGACTTTCCCCTGACACAAGCCCAACTCCTCTCTGAAGATCTGAGTGCACAATCCTGAGTAAACTGATGCTTCTCTCACAATAATGCCACACTCGCTCAGGTCTTCTTCATAGAAGATCAAATTGCCTTTCACAAGCTGCTGGAAAGCCAGTTTCCCCAGTTTAAGAATCAAGTCTTTATCTTTCACTCTCTTCTTATAGTCCTTCTCATGTTTGATGTTGGTCTGAATGATCAGGAAGTGTGTGTACATCTGAGTGAGAGTCTTGGGGATCTCTCGTCTCTCTGCTTCACTGCACATCTCCTCTAGAACAGTGGCTGAGATCCAGCAGAACACTGGGATGTGGCACATAATAAAGAGGCTCCTTGAGGACTTCAGGTGTGTGATGATCCTGTCGGCCAGACTCTGATCACTGATCCTCTTCCTGAAGTATTCCTCCTTCTGTGGGTCATTGAAGCCTCGTACCTCTGTCACCCGATGGACATACTCAGAAGGGACGAGATCCGCTGCTGCTGGTCTGGAGGTGATCCAGATGAGAGACGAGGGAAGCAGATTCCCCACAATGAGGTTCGGCAGCAGCTCGTCCACTGAGGCTGATTCAGATATATTACACAGTTTCCCTTCACTCTTAAAGTTCAGAGACAGGCGACACTCATCCAGACCATCAAAGATGAACAACACTTTATATTCACCCCTGGATATTTCCATGTCTTTTGTTTCCGGGAAAAAGGCACGAAGAAGATCTAAAAGACTGAGTCTTTTGCCCTTCTTCAAGTTGAGCTCTCTGAAAGGAAGTGGAAATATGAGCTGGACGTCCTGATTCTCTTTCCCTTCAGCCCAGTCCACGATGAACTTCTGCACAGAGACTGTTTTTCCAATGCCAGCGACTCCCTTCGTCAGCACTGTTCTGATGGGTTTGTCTTGTCCAGGTAAAGGTCTAAAGATGTCACTGCATTTGATCGGTGTGTCCTCTGTTGCTGCACTCCTAGACTGTGTCTCGATCTGTCTCACCTCATGCTCCTTATTGATCTCTCCACTTCCACTCTCTGTGATGTAGAGCTCTGTGTAGATCTCATTCAGAATCAGGAGTGTTGGGTTTCCCTGCTTTGCTGTTCCTTCACACACACACTGAAACTTCTTCAGCAGATCTGATTTAAATGTTCTTTGGATCAGTTGAGAATCATGACTGAAAGAATAAATTATCAAATTTCAGCAAATTAGTAAAATTGATAGTTAAATATATTTATGTCTTGACAGAAATGTTGTACCTCAGATTAGATGTCATGTGTATTCCGGTAAATGTTCCTCGGGTGTCCATAGACTGTTCACTAATTATGGACAAACATGGAGAGAACAGAGACAATACAACAGAGTCGAGAATGCAGAGACAATAATTCATATAGTATTCATATTGAGCCAGATAGAGGGGTGCCAATGAGTGCCTCAACGCACCTGTTAACACCTGTTTGCTGCTGAATATTAGTATAAAAAATACATAATTTAAAAAATATTATTAGAAAGACATTGATCAAAGACATTTAAGTTGTGTGTTTAAGTTGTAAGGGGGAATTAATAAAATGCTCTGAAATTGCCCTGTCTGTATTTAATGTTTTAATAATTTAAGTGAAGTGTTTGTATGTTATCTGTGTGAAGACGAGAACGTCCTGATACTGATAACAGTGACAACAGACACTCAGCATGAGTTCAAAAACACCACATTCCAGCACCAGAATGAAGTTAACATGAACTAATTAAATGAATGCTCTTGTTAGTCAACTTGACATGTTTGTATTAGGTACATCCGTGCTGCAAGATGTTTAAAAAAGTGGTGTGGACAATATCGAGTAGTTAGTTTAACAATGGGACCCAGAAGAAACTGGCATGTGTATTTTTTCAAAGTCTGCATGTCTGTAACTCAAGAAGTTTTAAAGATATCAGTTTTTCTGCAAAATTTTCTATTGATATCTTAATTTTTGAGGGCCTATGTAGTTCAATTCAATAAATGCATCTTGTGCATTTATTGAATTGAACCAAAAAATTGTCTTTTTCAAAGACTAACTTTTTTCCCAAAGTTTGCATGCATGTAACTCTAGAAAATTTATCCATCTATGACATGATATACCTCAGATCAGTTGATGTGTGTTTTCCCGCAAATCTCATTGGCTCTATCATAGACACATCACTCTTCATGGACACACAGCTGGGCTCCGGGGAGATTGATCTGTCACCCTTAAACTGACTTAAATAGAATAGAGATAATAGAAACAAGAATAAATTTGGTTAATCTATGAAAATAAATCCCACATGAGAAGGTTGTCTATTGAGACAGTATGTTGAAGAGTGATGAGACTGTCCAAGGATAATGTTATATACACTCACCTAAAGGATTATTAGTTTTTATTAGAATTTCTCGTTAATGGAATTATCTAATCAACCAATCACATGGCAGTTGCTTCAATGCATTTAATGGTTTGTGGTCCTGGTCAAGACAATCTCCTTAACTCCAAACTGACACAATAGGAAAGAAAGGTGATTTAAGCAATTTTGAGCGTGGCATGGTTGTTGGTGCCAGAGTATTTCACAATCTGCTCAGTTACTGGGATTTTCACACACAACCATTTCTAGGGTTTACAAAGAATGGTGTGGAAAGGGAAAAACATCAAGTATGGGGCAGTCCTGTGGGCGAAAATGCCTTGTTGATGCGAGAGGTCAGAGGAGAATGGGCCGACTGATTCAAGCTGATAGAAGAGCAACTTTGACTGAAATAACCACTCGTTACAACCGAGGTATGCAGCAAAGCATTTGTGAAGAAGACACAACACACACAACCGTGAGGCGGATGGGCTACAACAGCAGAAAACCCCATCGGGTACCACTCATCTCCACTACAAATAGGAAAAAGAGGCGACAATTTGCACGAGCTCACCAAAATTGGACAGTTGGAGACAGGAAAAATGTTGCCTGGTCTGATGAGTCTGGATTTCTGTTGAGACATTCAGATGGTAGAGTCTGAATTTGGCATAAACAGAATGAGAACATGGATCCATCATGCCTTGTTCCCACTGTGCAGGCTGGTGGTGGTGGTGTAATGGTGTGGGGATGTTTTCTTGGCACACTTTAGGCCCCTTAGTGCCAATTGGGCATCGTTTAAATGCCACGGCCTACCTGAGCATTGTTTCTGACCATGTCCATTCAAATTGGTTTCTTGAACATGTCAATGAGTTGACTGTACTAAAATGGCCCCCACAGTCACCAGATCTCAACCCAATAGAGCATCTTTGGGATGTGGTGGAATGGGAGCTTCGTGCCCTGGATGTGCATCCCACAAATCTCCAACAACTGCAAGATGCTATCCTATCCATATGGGCCAACATCTCTAAAGAATGCTTTCAGCACCTTGTTGAATCAATGCCACGTAGAATTAACGCAGTTCTGAAAGCGAAAGAGGGTCAAACACAGTATTAGTGTGGTGTTCCTAATAATCCTTTAGGTGAGTGTATCATCTAGCTGTCTACTGTATC